GCTTCTTTCCTCCCTTGAGGCCAAACTCCCCTGTGTCATGAAGTTTAGTTACCACGGGGGATGATTCATGCTATAACTCATGGTTGAGTTTTTGTGCAGGAAGGGAAGTAGGCGGTCCCCCATTGACCCTGGAGTCCACATCAGACCCATAGACAAGGACCCCTTGAAATTAATGCTCACCCATTAAAATGAAGTGACTTGTGGAGCTGGTGGTCTTCCTTTGCCTTGCCTTTCCTGGAGCCTCCTGTGTCTAATGGGAGGGTGCAGTCTTAATTCATTTTGCTGAGTCCCTAAGTAGGTGGTTCTTATAGCCCCTTGGGATTTCAATTAGCTGAGAACCTTCTTTGTGTGTGAGAGTCCTTGTTTTAGCAGAAATTTCTTTTCATGTCTAATTATTTTCTCACACTTCATAGTCAGAAAGAAAAGGCAGCAGTTGTTTCAGTGTAACAAACGCTTTGTGATGTTTGGTGAGCCAGCTCTCTACTGGTGGATAAGCTTTTCAGCGAAGAATCTGGCCTCTTCGTTTTGTATTTCCAGTGCCTGCCGTGCAAAAACATGAACCGAACCGAATCTTTGAAGCCATCGTTTCTCTGTGTCTTGAATCTTTGAAGCCAACATTTCTTCTGTCTGTGTCTACCCCTCTGGAATGTTTTAAAGGAAAAACATGTTTGCTTCAGCTGCAGACAGGTTATTTTTGAGGCGTACCAGTCAGTCCTTTACAAGTGTAATCCCGCACGTCTGCAGGGATGCACTGTGAGACCTTTCATTTCCCAAGAGCAGGAACCACACTGCCCCCGCTCTCCCACATTCCGATAGAAGGCCCCCTGGGACCAGCTTTCCTTGTATTGAGAAACCTACGTTCTGAGGCAAACCAGCCCTGAGAATTGGACATGGTTGGGTGGTTTTAGCTGTTCTCAAAAGGAGTGTTTAAAAAGCCCAGGAGGACTTCCCTGGTGGCGCAGTGGTTAAGAATCTGCCTGCTGATGCAGGGGACACAGGTTTGACACCCGGTCCGGGAAGATCTCACATGCCACGGAGCAATTAAGCCTGTGCGCCTCAATTACTGAGCCCACATGCCATAACTACTGAAGCCTGTGCGCCTAGAGCCCGTGCTCCGCAACAAGAGAAGCCACCGCAATAAGAAGCCTGCGCACCGCAACGAAGAGTAACCCCCACTCGCAGCAACTAGAGAAAGCCCGTGCACAGCAACGAAGACCCAACGCAGCCAGAAATAAATAAATAAAATAAATAAATGTATTAAAAAGAAATAAATAAAAAGCCCAGGAGATTTGACAATGCGGGTCCAGACACTAGTTCCCCAGCCCGGCGACTCGGGAAGCAGACCCTGTGTCCTGCATACTGTATATTTTCCTTCCTGTACCCAGTTCATGCTTTTTTACTTTTATTCATTCTTTCCCTTGCTGCTCTTAATAAGGCATCTTTCTGAAAGTGTAGAAGACTTAAATGAATTTTTCTATATTTTTAGCTGTTGCCTTGTCTTGTGTTTGACCAAGAAAACCCCAAACCAAAGAACTCCCAAACAGTAGGGCAGCCTGTTTGGATAATATGATTTTTGCTTGTATGTTCATTTCCAAGATCCTCCCTTGACTGAGGGGCATGGAGATTAAAGTTTTCATTCTGTACCATTTTGTATGATTTGAATTGTTATGCGTGTTATTACTTTAAAATACAGTTTATATACATTTCTTGTCACTTTCTGTGTATTCAGAGATCCTTTTAATTTTGGAAGAACTAACTTTTAATTATAAGTAAAAATGACTATTTGCTTATAGAAGGGATCCTTTTATTTTTCATTTTTTTGATAGGTTGCAGGATTTTTTAGAATATGGGCCTAAAAATAAACTTTCTACACTGGGATTATGGCTTTCTCTCTGTACTCTGCCCTTTGTACTGGGAAAGCCCAGCCGTGATTTCTGAGATGATTCAAGCTTTCTGGGCCTTCGTGAATGGTTGTGCTGGGACACAGCCACCCTGCTGTCACATGCTGTGTGGCCCTGCTGGGACCTGATTATATATGAACTACTTCTGTGAGGTGCTGGAATTAAGTGCACTGAAAATCAAACGGACAGAAACACTGATAAATTGAACCAATGCTTAAATGTTGGAACCCACAAATACGTCCTGCTTTGGAATTTCTTAGGGTGAGACATTTATGGATCGTTGCTTTCATGAACTATCAGATTATACTTGTGTCAAAGATCCCTTGCTTAGGGCTTCCCTGTTGGCTCAGTGGTTGAGAGTCCGCCTGCTGATGCAGGGGACACGGGTTCGTGCCCCGGTCTGGGAGGATCCCACATGCCGTGGAGCGGCTGGGCCCGTGAGCCATGGCCGCTGAGCCTGCGCGTCCGGAGCTCCGCAACGGGAGTGGCCACAACAGTGAGAGGCCCGCGTACCGAAAAAAAAAAGATCCCTTGCTTAAGCTGTGTGAATTTAATGATCAGGATAATATTGCTAGAAGAATTCCTGTCTTCCTTTCCAGCTTTAATAAATCCAGCAGACTCACAGGGGTTACTTACTTGCCTACGATTCAGTCTGCTTTTCACGTCCTTAAATAGCCCTGTGGCTGTTCTTGGCTACCTGGTCTTTGGTTTTAGGCTTGCGTGTGAAAATAAATGACAGGAACAGTTGAAGTGCCTGTTCATACCTCCTAGTGGTGTTAGAAGTTTCCAAAACAAATCCCACTCTAGTGCCCAGGGACTAAACCTGAGCATCAGGTGATAATAGGCCCTCAGGGAGGATCCTAGAGTTGGTTGCAGCTTCTCTCAAAATAAACAGACTTCGGCACTGATACTTCGGGGAAGGCGGCCCCCGTTCAGGGAGCTGGCAAGTGGTATTCTTTGAAGGTCGGGAGCCTTTGCATCCCCTGGGAGGGTGAATAGAGAGGTGGAAGAGCTGAGAGAAGGCCCTGGGTGGAGAGGTGAGGCTCTCTGCTTGTGGCTGGTGTGGTCATCTGTGCCTCCACCCTCAGCTCTCAGCAACTTCCCCTATTCAGGTGCCTACCCTTGGTATTTACAAAAGCTAACCACCCCTCATCACCAAGGCTACCATTTAGCACATGACTGTCAGAAGAGAAAGATACAAATAATCCTCTCAACATCTAAATGACAGATATGCAAACTGTTCCCAGCCTGCCATGGAAAATGTGTTGGGAAGACACTCGGCTGGCAGGGTGAAGCTGTCTGTAAGGACCTTGCGTCTTCCTCCTGCTCCAGCTGTGGACTGTGGTTTTAAAAATCATAAAAGATTTCTCCTAAAGGTCCAAAATCGTAGCTCATGTCATTTTCCCAGATCTTGGCTGTATTTTGTTAATCCAGTGTAAGTCCTTCTCGATGACGTTGTGTCTGAACTTTATGTGCAGCCCTATGATTTATGGTTGATGCCAGCTATGGGGGCTTTCCCCTTTCTCTTCTTTCATCTCAGGACATTTAAATTGGAAGCTTAAGCCTTCCTCAAAAAGAATTTAAATTTCAGCCCTCTTTTCTATGTGTTGTAAAAGACGGCTCAGCAAAGATGAGTTCAGAGGGAGTGCCAACCTGGAATCTTGGTGTAAGGGAAAGCTTTGGGGAAATTGTAGAGCTGGTTCAGAGTCCTGACTGTGCCTTTTAGCAGTTGCAAGGCCTTGTACCAGTTACCTAACTTGTGAGCCTCAATTTCCTTATCTGTAAAGTGGGTATGCTGTCCACTTCATGTCATTCTCGTGAGACCTAGAGGAGGACGTTTCTAAGTGTGTTTCTGCATCCCTCTGCCCCTTTAAGTGTAGAATGAGCTAAAGTAGCGGGGGCACGATCTGCCCTGGGAGCAGGACGGGCTGAAGGTGAAAGAGGAACCTGTGTTTATTTGGGCAAAACCATCATTTCCTTGAAGTCCACAGCCCTCAGCTCTTAAATAGGTCACCGAAAAGAACATCAGAGTGTGGTTCTCGGCATGTGAGGGTGACCCGGGGGCAGCTGTGGGTCAGCCCTGTATTTGGAGTTGTTTGTTCTGCGGAGCCCGCGCCACTCACCGGGCTCACATTCTTGCGGTTCACCCGATGGAAAATGCCGAGGGGAGGTTTACTTTCTCTGAAGTTCGTCTTTCAATGGAGTTGGGCTGATATAATATCATTTGCCATATCGTGAAGTAGTTTGCAAGTGACCAAGTGAAATTCTTGAATCATGCTTGAAATATTCCTTTTTCTGATTATTAAGCTGGGGATGAATGCCTCCTCTCAGTTTCTCTTTCTTTCTCATCGTGGTAAAATACATATAAGAACGGTGACCATTTTAATCATTTTTAAGCGCACAGTTCTGTGTCATTAAGTGCTTTCACATTTTTATGCAACCATCACCACCGCCCAACTCCAAAACTTTTATTCTCCCAACTGACACTTCCAGGTCCCCCCGCACCCCCCAGCCCCTGGTGACCACCATTCTCCTTTCTGTCTCTGAACTCGGCTGTTCTAAGGGCCTCACATCAGTGGAATCATACAATATTTGTCACTTTGTGACTGCCTTATTTCGCTCTTTTTTTTTTTTTTCTTTAACAAATCTTTTACTCTGTCTTATAGTTTCCATTACTCCCTGCCAGGGACTATTCTACAAACCCTTGCTTTTCTCTTGCAAATTTGCACTCTACCTACGTAACTGTTTGTATATGATCTTTGCATTTTTACCCCGTTGAAGGAAAAAACCAGTCACAGGAAGTGATTTGATGGAATGTTTATTTTATTCTTAGAAATAGCTCTTTACCGAATCAAGATTTTAGGTGACCTTACACTAAGTACAGAATCAGATCCTATCTTTGCCTAGAGGGTGTCTTCTCAGAAATAAAACTTCAAGTTCTGCCCTCCCCCACTGCACCCCTCACTCCCCAAAGAAGAGAACACAGGGTGTGTGTACGAGGCTGGTAATAGCAGAGAGGAGAGGCCAGGTAACACGGACTGTGAACATCGTTTGAGGTGCTTCCATTCAAAGGTAACCTCTCAGCCTTTCTCCTCGTAGGTGGTGTACCTTGAAATCCAAACCGGGGAAGAAGAATAAAGAACGAGGAGAAATTGAGGTTGACATCCAGTTTATGAGAAGCAACATGACCGCTAGCATGTTTGACCTTTCCATGAAAGACAAGTCTCGGAATCCCTTCGGGAAACTGAAGGACAAGATCAAGGGGAAGAATAAGGACAGCGCGTCAGATACCGTGTCAGCCATCATCCCCAGCGTGACGCCCTCGGCTGACAGCGATGACGAGTCTCCTTCGAAAGACAAGAAGAAGAAGTCAAAGCTCAAGACCTTGTTTTCCAGGTCCAACCTGCAGAGAGCACCACTTTCCCAGTCCATGTCTGTCCTGCCGACTGTAAAGTCAGACAAAGTGCTGCTTCGTCCTGGAGACTTTCAGTCCCAGTGGGAGGATGAGGACAATGGCGAGGACAAGTCCTCCTCTGCCTCGGACGGTGAGTTTCCTTCTCCTCCTCCTTACTTGGCCCTTCTCCCCCAGCTGAGCCTACTTTGCTTTGGGAGAGAAGAAACAAACAAACCTTAGGAGAAAGATTTTAATTCAGCTCCTCAGTTAGTACAGTGATGGTGATGCTGGTGGAGGGGGTCGCGGGGGTAGTGGTGATGCTGCTTTTACTGGTGGTGCTGGCGCTGTAGCTGCTCGTGGTGGTCACGGTAGTGGTGGTGATGATGAGGGGTAACCTTGGTTAGGAAGCCTTCTCTATTTCTAAGCCCTCTGGTTTCTAGGAATGTGCGAATGCCTTTTCCATAACGCCTGGCTCTGTAACTGATGTACATTAGTACAAGCTTTTGGGGCTAACAGAATGAGTGCATGTACAGTTTATTTTTTATTTTTATTTTTGTGGTATGCGGGCCTCTCACTGCTGTGGCCTCTCCCGTTGCGGAGCACAGGCTCCGGACGCGCAGGCTCAGCGGCCATGGCTCACGGGCCCAGCCGCTCCGCGGCATGTGGGATCTTCCCGGACCGGGGCACGCACCCGCGTCCCCTGCATCGGCAGGCGGACTCTCAACCACCGCGCCACCAGGGAAGCCCCGAGTTTCTTTTTTTAATTAAGGATAAAACCATGGAAACTTACAGTAATTCTGATATTTCATTAATTCGTTGGGTACTTATACTGAGCTCTCATGGAATACATTCCTAATGAAAGCCGAGGAATCCAGTTCCATTAACTCTGAATTAACTGGATATTTTGAAATTCAGTCTCAGTGACCAGATCCCTATTATTGGCCAGATTCTGCACCTCTACCAAGAGCACTGCCCTTATCCTTGCTTCCATGCACGGCTTCTCCACCTCAGCACCGCTGATAGTTGGGAGGATAACGGTTTGTTGTGGGAGCCTCCCTGTACTTGTAGGAGCGTTAGCAGCATCCTGGCCTCCACCTGCTAGATGCGGGTAGCACACCCCACCCAGCTGTGACAACCAAAAATGCACTCAGATGCGTGAGGACAAAAGCCATGCCCCGCCCCCCACCCCCACCCCCACCCCGTGTTGCGACCCATTCCCTTAGCTTCTCACTCCCTTGGTTCTTGGTTCTTCTCCCACAGTCTTGTCTCACAAGGGAACGGCAAGCGTGGATCCTAAGCAGCTGAACCAGATCCACTTCAACCCCCCCAAGAAGGAAGGACTCTCCTTCCTGGGAGGCCTTCGGTCTAAGAATGACACCCTTTCCCGCTCGAATGTTTGTATCAACGGGAACCACGTCTATGTGGAGCAGCCTGAAGCCAAGAGCGAGACCAAGGGCAGCTCCCCGGCCTCCTCGCCATCCCCCCAGGGCCTCAGGAAGAAGCATTTGTTCTCATCTACAGAAAACCTGGCCTCTCGACCTTTGAAGGAGCCTGGGGAAGGAGGTGCAGTGCCTTCCGAGTCTTCCACAAAGGATTCTCTCAAGTCCATGTCCCTGCCATCCTACCAGCAGCTGGTCAGCGGGGACCTTCGGGAGAACGCGGCTCTGGCGACCTTGGAGGCTGCAAAGGAAACCAAAGAGAGCAAGAAACAGGAGAACAAGAAGTCCTCTCTGCTCTCCCTGGTGACCGGGAAGAAGGACACAGCCAAGGGCAGTGAAGGCGAAAGCCCGCCGGCCGCCCCCGGGAAGGAGAGGGAAGGCACGCCCGTGGCGGTCAGAGCCAGTGAGGACCAGCCGGGGCCTGTCGACGACCCTGTGAAGAGATCGGACGAGGAGACTGCGGCCATTGTCTCTGGACGGGGCAGAGCCCCGAACCCCTTTGAAGACGTGCAGATCCCAGAACCAGAAGCTGACCCAGAGCCCAAGGCTGCACCAGCGCCACCTGTTCCCTCACCCAGGGCTCCCCAGACCAGAGCCGTGAAACCCCGGTGAGTCTCGGCCCCTCCCTGGGGCCCAGCGGCCATGCCTACGTTAGAGCAGACCTTGCTTGTTGGTCCGTAGTGGTCCCTGCAGAAATTGTTTTTAGCCAGTTCCTACCACTGACCTGGCCCACCTGCAGAGACTGCAGTGATGTGCCCCAGCCCGGGGCCACTGCCAGCAGGCGTGGTCTGCCCCTTGCCCGACATTTTCCCTGCAGGCATCTTTGCCGCAAGCGTTTTCTCTGCACACAGTTTTGCTTCTGGCGAAAGTACCTAGAACTGGTCTGTCCATCTCAGTGAGATAAGCAGAGCACAGTGGAATGCCCTGGTTTTGTATCAGATTCCGAGTGCCGTGGTCTGGGAGCAATACCAGGTTTCGGTGGTGGTACGTGCAGACCGGGGTTTAGTAGGTTCTTCCCATGAGTTCCCTTTGAGGCAGGTGTAATCTCTCCTCCTTGCACTTTGGTGTGGCTTTGCTGGCACAAGAGACCCTTGGTCCACTGTCAAGTGTGACTGGGAGGGTTCTCTGTGTGTTTCCTCTGCACGTTGTCTCACTAGCCGGTGTTCTGCTTCTCAGTATGACTCACATTCACAGTGACGATATTCCTGTGCGCTGGGGGTGGGAGAGACTTTTTTTTGAGATTCTGCCTACTTTGATTTCACAGACACACACACACACACACACACACACACACACACACACACACACAC